TAACTACAATATATTTTCAAGTCAAATGTTAATGCTAATAGCAAAAACAGCAAATAAAGCTATTCTCGATACTTTCAGTATTTCAATTAAACCTGATATCATAAATTAATCATTGCTATGTTATGATAAAAAAAAGGTATAACTTCACTTGAAGTACTAGAGGAAAGATTAATACAGTATTTAAGGTTTGTTAACCTTAAGTGGATACATGCGAAATATTATAGCCGAAAGTTTCCTGCGACGGAGGAAATGCATCGTATTTTAATGTAATTTAAACCCATATTTAACTGCAGAGATTAAAGTTGAAGAATTTCATTTATTCAGTTTTAGATTTTAGTTAATTCTTCTGCGAATTTCCAGCCTTAATGAGCTGGTGTTTGTGTAATTAACTGAAGGTGGTATTCATTTGTTTACTTTGACATAGTAATTACCGAAATTTTCTTCATTTACAAGTAATAAATAATTTTTAAATCATACTAATAAATGATTGAATATAATTGATTGAAATTTCAGTTTCATCATCAAGAAACTTTCTTAGTCGAACGTAACACAGTAAGAACTTTTTTAAGAATTTTATAATAATATTTAAAGAAAATTCAAGATTCTTTTTCCAAAAAAATTTCTTTTTTTCTCTCGTATATTTAATAAAGCTTCATGAATTATTCAATAGATGGCAGCACTGCTTAAAACCTCGTCAGCTAGAGTAAAAAAAATTGAGTTCTATTGAATGGAATCACAGCGGAAGAAATTAACGCATCAAATTCAGCGAAATCTTAAATTTTAATATCATTTCAGTACTTATTTATTTTTGAAAACAAAAATTTGCATAACATTTAAATTCTTTATCAATACTATGTTGCGTTAAGTTTTAATGGTTTTATATCTGCTAATAGATGGCAGCACTAAACTTTTCATTAGAAAATAAATGAAGAGCTATTTGTTTTAATTACTGATTTATGAATTTGACTATCGTTAAATGAAATTTTATGTACTTCAGCTGTGCGAACCGAGTTAATCGTGAATAGGCACGAGATTTCGCGGTTGAGACAATACTTTGATAAACGTCAGCGGTATATGAAGTAAGTAATATAAATAATTAATGCGTGACTAATAAGGTTGATTATTAATTTTGTAAGCAGTGAATTTTTTCAATGTTATGAAGGTCGTTACGTACGATACTAATTTTCATTTAAGCGGACAGAATTTTCTTAAATCGTATATACAAACACAGGTAGGACCAGCTCTAGATACGGTGCAGCCTCACCAGGCGGCAAAATTTTAGAATTTAGCAAGACACTAGGCGGCAAAATGCAGGAGCCATTGAGATTGCATTGTGCTGCAGAAAGTCTTAAGCACAGAAAGTCTAACACCGACACTGAGGTTTTCCATTTTAAAACAGCATCGTTATTCCGTTTATAATGAAAATTATAAAACCACTAAGATAAATGTCTGAAATTCGCGAATTTATTTGATAATCTCCGAAAAGTTTGATATGAGTGAAATCTCTGAAAATTTACAGTTTAAGAAATCCTGTACGGAAATTATGGCTACGATGAAATTAGTACGCTACGTACACCTGTAAGAATTTTCATTTATTAAAAAAGATGAAAGTTCTATCATGTTAGACAATAATATCCATTTTGAGTATATTTCCACATACTTAAGTTAGTTAATAATACCAGATATAAATTTTATCCTATTATTCTTTGCTTTTTAATGCTGATATTAAAATAGAAATTTTTTTTTATTCGACAGTAAATGTGGGTAAGTGTTTTAAAAAAAATTTCTTCATAATGGCATCCTTCCGCATAAGCAGGTAGCCTAGCTCTATAAAGCTTTACTATTAGCGAGCCAGTCCATTGCTGAAGTATAAGTGAAACTTTTCTAAAGCGATTATGTTCAATTACGCAGCGTTTGCAAAGTAATTTTGTTTGTAAAGGTACATTTCGTATATTAGAAAGATACATTTCATACATACATACAAGAATGTGAATATTAAAAATGTGCAATATTCCTATTTAAATTATATTCTCAGAGATGCTGGTCTTCAGAAGTGGTCATCTTAATGAGGTGAATTCCATAAAAAGGCTTCACTATGTTTTATAATTTCAGAGTTCTTAATTTGTTTGTGTATATGTTATGTTGTTGTGATTTATTTCACTTGTCTGAACAGTAACATGAGAAAAAGCACACGAAATTAATCAATAAATAACGTTGAATAACAACAAACATTGTTTATTGTAAGATCGTTTAAAATAACAAAGACAAAATAATTTCGAATTTTTTAAACTTCGTCGTTTAAAATATTTTATCTTTGTTATTTTAAAAGATAAAATAATTTCGAATTTTTTTTTAACTTCGTCTTTCAAAATATTTTATCTTTGTTATTTTAAACGATATTATAATCAAATAACAACAAACAATGTTGTGTTGTTGTGACTTATCTGAACAGTAACATGAGAACAAGCACACGAAATTAATCGTGGCAAGGATTGTAAGATTGCGCCTGTCGTTGGCAATAGCTTTGAGCACCATACGGATACGACTTTGCTCACTTCCACTCCTAATTTTGATGAAGAGCACCCGGGGGGGGGGACGGGTCCGGGAGTCTTCCCTCCACCAAACTCTCGAGAGAACTTTTGGCTCGCCTCATATTTAGAGTGACCCATGCCGCACAGACACTATGCATTTACAAACATCTATACCTTCTCGGGGGTCCGAACCCGGATGCTTCGGTACGGCAGTCAGAGTCGCTATCCCGGTTGCGCGGCTTATGTATGTGTGCGATATAAATTGGTTTACTGTGTAAGGAATTATCACATTCCGCTATGCATACTCTCGTGGTGTGATACCTGAAGTTAGCAACTGCAAGGTTCATCATCCAAATCCCGGAGAGGATATGATTTTTCATATCCAAAAAAGCGTTCCTGCTCCAAAAGAAATCGACCCCATAGTGGCTTTCGAACTGAAATATGCAGGGCGGCAGTTCGCCAACATCTGGATTCGGTGAGCTGGATCTCGTTTCACCTCTAACCAGTCACTCTTTAAATGGGGGAGAATGTAAGGAATCATTATTTTCTCTCGGACAGTATGTTGTCAGTCAGTCATGTTAGCAGCAAAAGCAAAAAGTTTATCGGGACTTGAAAGGGAAAAGTGGGGAATAAGTGTGTGTTATACCATTTTCATTTATTCCACTAAGTTTCGCATTAAATGGTATGTGGCTCACAAATGTATATGTAGGTAAATGGTATTTTATGACAGCAGTTTTAGTTTTCCTATGTCCTTTGCAACTGCTGCTTCCTGTTCTTCTTTTTTTTTTTTTTTTTTTTTTTTTTTGGCTAATATGGGCTAATATATAAAACCTATTTTGAAACGGATGCAGTATGAAGCACCGGCATTCACACTAATTAAATGCCAATTACCTAGACTTCTTTTGCTATTGTCCATAGAATCGAGTGCGCTCTGCTTTCCGTTTTCGGTTCCACATATCTATGTGAACAAATCTTACATGAAAAGTATTTTGTCACCACAAAGAAGTCGTTTAACAACTGAATATTCAGAATTATGGGTCAAATTGAAAGTAAAAAATTATACCCCTGATATTGAGATATTCAGAAGAGCGGTACAGGGATCGCGTTTGCGCTAAAATTTAAACTTTTTATTTAGCTAATATTTTACATCATTTATTTTTTATTTTAATAAATATCTTTAAATGCTACATTATACATAATGCATGTATAATTTTAATTTTTTATTTATGTTGAAGGAATAATTATATTTTATATTGTTTATTTTTATGTTAATAAATATCTTTCAGTGATACCTGATTAATATACAGGGTGATTCTAAATTACTTGTACAAATCAAGAGGGGTGACAGTACCCATCCAGATGAGCAATAATTACCATAGAACATAGGGTCGCATTCCACTCTGAGAGGCAGAAAAGAAGAATATTAGAATTCCAATCTGAACTTATAACAGTGTTGGGAGAGCGAATGAACGAGACCAAATGTTGCACATCAGTTTAGCGACAAACTCGTAAAGAGTGCACAAAACGGATAAAACCGAAAACTTGGCGTTCGGGTGTTAATTCGAGCTGACACTTTGATGGCAAATACTCAAATGCACATCTTCGTTTGGCAAGGTCTCAACCTCGCAAATGATTGCAAAAATTATCTAAATTATTAGGGGGGAATTACCTTTGATATCATGTATCAAGGTAGAAGTTGTTTTTCTCTTAGCCATCTTCTATCCTGTCTTTCTGGACTTAGTCTGCTGCGTTCATTCTACTTGAAGCGCCCTTCTATGGGACACGAAAGTTCTGACAGCCCGAACGCAGCATGAACTTTTCATGCTAATCTCGGCATGCAGCGGACGTTGGAGTTAGTTGATAATATTCAGCCCTTAATTGCATATTTAACTTGTTGCAATCGTTTGCGAGGTTGAGACCTTGCCAACCAAAGATGTTGCATTTGAGCGTTTGCCATCGAAGTGTCAGCTCGAATTAACACCCGAACGCCAAGTTTTCGGTTTTATCCGTTTTGTGCACTCTCTGCGAGTTTCTCACTAAACTGATTGTGCAACATTTGGTCTCGTTCATTCGCTCTTCCAAAACTTTTGTAAAGTTCAGATTGGAATTCTAATATTCTTCTTTTCTGCCTCTCAGAGTGGAAAGCGACTCTATGTTCTATGGTAATTATTGCTCATCTGGATGAGTACTATCACCCCTCTTGATTTGTAAAAGTAATTTAGAATCACCCTGTATAATTAAACTCTAAATCTTTATTCTGTCCTCTGTTCCCTAATCTGCATGCATTGACGCGCGAATAGAAATTGTTTCAAATATTTCCTACTGTGCGGCATCCTGAAAGCTTCTAAGTATCTTCGTTACAGTTTCAAAAAGCACAATAAAATTATTTATTTCTTAAAAATTTTATTAAAAATAAACTAGGTGTGAATGAAAAATGAATAAAGTGAATAAGACACAGAGACTTCAGAATAGTAATAAATATCTTTATTATCACCAAAATACTTCAGTATCGTACAAGAAGACATTCTCTTACAAAACCAACTACATTTTATATACATAATATGCAAATATATATTGTTTGGGCACTTCAGGAAAAGATTCTTGAGATAGAATCATCTCATTACATGGTAATCGGCACTTTTTCCAACTTCAGAACTAAGAAGTACGTGATGTATAAGTACACTAGATTGTATTCGCATAAAATTTTAACATTACTTTCTCACGGAGTTACAGCTTTAATCAAAACAATTTAGCTTTTAAATTCTTAGGTGAACTTGAAAATTGTGGCAAAAAATATTCTGTATCATAAAAAATTGTATAAGTACACAATTTATTTATAGGCGTTTATATATTTACATGTGTTAATATGAAAATTTACAAAATATATTGCATTTATACTACACAAAATGTAAAAAAATATATGTTTGCTCTACCTAATAACCTTTTAAGTCTCTCAATAAGAATATTTTATTTTACTTTGAAAATCTGAAAATCTATACTATTAAAGGTCTGTGACTATTTCTAAGAACATTTATAAGTATCAGCACAGAATATCACCTCTATGAGATGACCAGCTCTTCAGACGTAAATCATCTAGAAGAATGGTGAATTTAGTTCTCATTAATGTTACAAAAGATATTGACCGAGTTTTGCCTTAAAGTACAGCATTTAGAGTACTTGATTATGCTTTTTTTAGATTATCTTTAACACATCAAACTCATACACGTGAAAACATCTTATCTATAACTTTGGGAAACACTTTTGAAACTGAAAAATTGTCTTTATAAAGATCATCTTATATACGGGCCAATATGGCTACCTCCAGACTACATCTGCATAAATAAACTAAGAAATGTAACAAATCATTTCATACTAAAAGTACGAATTCATACAGCTACTATATTTAAATAATTATAGGGTTTTTTTTTTTTTTTTTTTTTTTTTTTTTTTTTTTTTTTTAATCTCTGGTTATAGAATGAAGTGTTTTTTCTCTTCCCCCCCCCCAAAAAAAATTAAGAATCTGTTGTTATAAATCACTTATCAACATTAAGCTTCACATCTGGAATTTCTTCACGCAATCCAAAACAAGAGAAAAATAAAGAATCCTTACTAATATCAAACATATTTTCAAATTTCAGAATCATTCAACATGCACTCAAATAAATTTCTATCAAATATATTTCCATTCTGAAGTATCGTACTTTCAATGGTTCGTATCCAACAGCAAATCGTCTTTCGGTTTTACAAATAGACTACGAAATGAAAAGGGAAAAAACTACGAAAATGGTGATGAACAAACATGGTAAAAGTTACAATGGTAGAAAAAGTTATAATTTATTAGTACGTCCTTTGCTTAATTTACATATGGTAGCACAGATTCTTCAACGTGCTCTCTTTTAACAACTACTCGTTCAAAGCTTGTCTCAAACTGAATCATCTTCCATTGAGCTTTTGACATCGGAAACCAACAGACAAAAGTTAATGAGTAAATGGACCAATGTCGTCAAGTCTTGGTGTGAAAAGAGCCAAGACAATAGAAAAATATGTGCGTAGAACAGGCACTTCACTCCTCCTAAAGTATGGTATACATATACACTAGTAGGGATGAGCAGTTTCCTACTATTTGAAAGCTCTTAATTTTTTATATTTTGACTGGGACAAATGATATTTGTCCAGGACTAGACGATTGTGGTATTCTTCTCCTTGTTCCAAGGTAGAAGATTGTCTTTAAGGGAATGTCCATAAATTCTATGAAGCTCCTGAAGCCTCCTTTGTCGCATGGCATCCTCGCGGAGCATTTTCGCAGCGAACAAGGCGAGAAGTATTAAAATGCATAAACCAACGATGGGTACGGCAATCACTGCTGCCTTAAACCACGTTTCTCGGTTCATCGTCGACTCCATTAAAGCAATTTTTTCCGAGTTTAAAGATGCGTTATCTTCATAAATATCTAAAAAAAAAAAAAAAAATTACGTCATCAAAATGCTTTATGCTTTAGAAAATACAAAAATATACATACACAAAAACAGAAACTTTAGATAAAACTACAATTTACACGTCAAGCTATTAATTTGCTACTGTCGTGAGGCCTTGATTACCTATAGCCATACAAACAAGTCTTTCAAAATGAGGCCCCGAGGCTTGACTCCTCCCCCCTACGGGAGCTGAGAAAACCACTACAATGCAGGCAATGCTTGTCCTCACAGGCATTAAACTATTGGAGGAAATTCAGAGTTGCAACGATACAGTTATGTAGAAATTAGTATATCCCTAGACCTAGAAGACGAAAGACTCAAGATGGATTTTACCCCATACGGGGGGGGGTTTAATAATGGAAGCTGAAGATAACGAAACCTTAAAAACATTCCGCCTAGTTTTATATTTAAACAATGATCAATATAAAATTACAACTGCTTAATTTGTGTTTCTTACTTGCAACTCCATTTATCATCAACTTTGGTTGCTAAACATTTAAGTTTTCATACGGAGTAAATAATTTAACACGTTCGCTGCCGAGCGACATTTCAAAAACGGTTCCAACACGCCAACAAATTTTAATTAATTAATTGTAAAATAAAAAAATACAAAACATGCATTTACGAGAAAGATATTGAATTTAGATAATTTTTATTGCTTTATTAATTATACGAGTTATATCGCAGTCGGTTTCTGCGATAAAATGTTTTATGACAGCGCGAATTACGAGTATAATCGCAACAAGTGTATTTATTCAAAGTTGGCGGTTGTTATTATAAATTGCTTCATTATTTTTACAGTTTTCCAAACTGTTGAATTGCTTCAAACTGTTGTGTCTTGAATTGCTCCAAACTCCGAGTCCAAATTGAAATTCAAATTGAAATCCAAGTCTTGAATTGCTCTACTCTTGAATTGCTCCAAACTGTTGTGTCTCTTTGTAATTCCCAACCTTCAAAAAACATGAAAATACTACGAATTTGATCGTATGTGGCGTAGGTAAAAAAAAAAAAAAAAGGTTCTAGGAATTAATTCGTAGCTGGCGCCTGAACAGGAAAGTTCGGCGTACGAGATAATTCTTCATTTCCAGTTTGCTTCAAACCTTAGAGAATAATTTTTATTCTTGCCATTAAGCAATATTATAGCAATTAATTTTTTTAACTGTGTTTAAAGCTTTTCTTCGCATTAAAAAAAAAGGATAGGGGAAGGAAGATGCAATTTAAAATGGGTATGAAGCATATTAAAATAATATCTCACTTATCTCCTAACTTTTAAAGGAGAAGAGATATACAGTCAACCCTCACGGTCCACGGTCCTACATGAATTTGTTGGTCGTATTACAAACGTGATGTTCAAAACCAGCGTTACTTATGTTCTCAGAAACACCGGTCACCTTTAGAGATAATTAGTGCAACAGATGCATTTATTTAATTTTACCTCAAGAGAAGTATTTAAATGCTATTTAGACATTTTTATGACTATCTTGCAGAAAAATTCCAAGATACCTAGCGCATTCATGTGAGGCCAACTTGACTGCAAACTTTGCCTTTTGCTTGTAAATTCCTTTCGGAAATACAAGGACATCTTACGTGTGAGAGTGTCTTATGTTCGTACCAATACTGCACATGCATGTTTTAAACAGCAGATCAATAAACTAAAAAAACAGAAGTCAAGCATTTCGTATAGTTTTGTTTTATGAAGAAAAAGAAGCACGTAACGTACCAGCCATAGGAGCTCTATGTGTATGTACATGGATGTTCACATGAATGTAATTGCACATGTCTTCTCGGCAACAACGTAGCCCGCCACAGCGTCTCCTTTCTAAACATCCGTGAATCCCGCGCTCAAGATCGCTGTAACATAATGATTGAGATTTGCACATGTAACTTGTCGATATACATGCCGCTTGGTTACAGTAACATCTTATCTCCCCTGAAAGATAATAAAAGATTCTGTTATTAAATATAAAATAAATGAATGCATTTAATTTTACAGAAACACATACAAAATAAAGTAAATAAATCTGAAAGGTTTTAGATTTCAAATTACGTCCAAAGGGACGTTTTTTTAACATTTTGTGTATTACATTTATTTATTAAATATCACGTTCTTCGCACTTAAACCATCAAATTCAATTCAGCAGCAATAATATAATTTTGAAATGAGCATATCTTAAAAAATTCCGATACAAAGTCTCGCGCGCTGGAGATAGAAATGCTCCTCCCCCGGTACAGTGTTGCCATTGCTCGCATTGAAATCGTTGAGTTTCTTAATAAAAACACATAAATGCCTTACAAAATATGAAATAGATAATGAATAATTATTTAATATTATCGATTTCCTAATAATATGAAATCGATAATATTAAATGTGAAATAGGTAATAAAATCTTTACAAAATATTAAATATTAAATGTATATAATTAATAAAATATGAAATAAATAATAAAAGATGAAATAGATAATAAAAGAATAAATAATCAAAACTCATAAATGCTCATAAATTCTATATTTGGGCTTCCAGATGCCCATATCCGAAGAAGGATTACGTAAATTTTATCACAATGCGAGAAACATGATAACATTTATGCAGATTCTTCATTATTTTATTTCTTTAAATATAACACAGGTCGATAATATTTGGTGGCAAAAGTTTGAAAAGTGAATCAATGCAGAAAGTGAATCGACGCTTAATGTCAAAACGAAATTAATAGCCTTTCTGAGCTAACGCTACGTTGGGCTAAGGAGGAGGAAGAGAGAGAGGAGAAAGAAAAACTTTTTTTAACTCCCCCTTTCCCTTGTACGAAAATTATTTAAAGAACGTCTTCCATTGGTAAATTAGATTTTTTGAAGATGTTTCAGGTCCATAATTTTTATCGTTTCTGGTTAACAATCCTGATTTAATACCTTTTAACACTGTTGACTTTTCTAAACTGCTTTTCGTTCCCTTTTCAATCAATAAATAGTAGTAGATGAGTCGTTCCTTATTATTAAGTTAAAACATTCACAAGTGGTTTTTTTTTTTTTTTTTTTTTTTTTTGGGGGGGGGGGGGTGTGCATGTGTGCGCGCGCCTTCTTTTTTTACTCCTGCAACTGACGAAGGAGGTTCTGCTTAACGCTAGTGTGTGTGTATTTGATTATGGCAAAGAACTTGAGGGCTATCCGCTTAATAGGAGGGATGCCTTCGTGGAGGACTTTAAGGGAACTGGCTCATATACATGTTACAAATGGGGAAAACACGAAATGCCCATGCTGCTAGCCCGTTCACGGGAGTCGAACCACCAGTGTTTAGCGACTACCGCTCGACCGGTGGTGGACTGTTTAACGTCGGAAACTATACTCTTGCAAATTTACTAACGTTATGCCAATTTGCATTTCTTCAGCTTCACATTTTTAGAAAAGAGTGCATTCGTGAAAGTACTTTATTCATATATCATTTTGCACCATAGAAAGCAAACACAATAATATATCAGAAAACAGTATTGAATAATAATTCAATGCATTACTTAGCATAATAAACTCAGACCATCCCAAACAAGAGAAGAGTGACGCCCAGTTTCAGGCGTTCTGTACTCATCGATTAAGTTATATCCAGTTTTAGTGGCACTACCCTTCATTGCCTTTAACTGTTCAAATTCTATAAGATGAAAATTTATGGCATATTTATTTTCAAACCTTTTTGGGAATGAATATACTTCCATTTTTTCTGCTACCGACTTTCTTATAAACGGTACCTTACAGAAAATATTTGGACTGTAATATTCATGAATCCATTAAAATAAAACCTTAAGCTATATAATGCTTTTATCAACAGAATTAATTATGAATTAATTAAATTTCAGAGGAAATACCCACGATCTTTTGGGGAGCGAACAAGTAACCCTATTTCATCCATTTTGAATGTCTGGGGAATTCATTTTAAATATTCGTTAACTTGACAATGAATAACCAGTATAGAGAAATTCACACAATTTTCGTTCACCAGTGAATTCCCTTTCCGTCTTTTTGCCGTATTCAGCTCTTTCCCACTCAACTGGAGTTTTTAATCTCCAAGACGTTCACTGCGCCAACAAAATAATCTTTTTTTCACCCAAAAGATATACTGCGTTCACTGACACTCATTCCAGAGTGAAGTGTCACATAAAATATCCACACTGGAAAGGAAAATCTCCTTCGACCAAATAATAAAAGAGAGTGGCCGTTTTTGAAGTCCTCTTCTGCTTATCGACGGTCTCAACGAGTTCAAGGCCAGTCGAGTTTCAGGAGAAAGGGGTCCTCATTAAGTTGGTTGACTGGCGAATGCATTGCAATCGCAATTTTCTTCCTCAGACAGAATAATGGCATTGAATCTCGAATTTTATTTCTCGATAATAAAGCAGTAGATCTCGTTATGATAGAGTGTAAGCTACTATTTTAAATAAGAAGTCTTACTTATTGATTAGAATAAAAATCAAAAAGTGGGTCATGGTTATAGGGAAAGAAAAGAGTTGGAAAAAATTCCGTTTGGAGGGATCCACTACTCAAAAAACTCGGAAATCCAGTTAAATTATAATTTAGATCATAGATCATATAATTTACAGCTCGAAATTAAGATTTTGTTTTAGTTTCTTGAAGTCTGGGCTATATGAATTACGGCAAAGCACGAGAGGGCCCTTCTTGGAAGATTTTAACTTCTTGGGCTTTTTCTTTTAGAAACTATCCGTTTAGAAACCTTCTTCTTGGACTCGGACCCTTCCGTTTAGAAATTGTCCGTTTAGAAACATTCTTCCTGGACTCGGACTCTTTCTTTTATAAACTGTCCGTTTAGAAACCTTCTTCTTGGACTTGGACTCTTTCTTTTAGAAACTGTCCGTTTAGAAACCTTCTTAGACTTGGACTCTTTCGTTTAGAAACTGTACGGTATTCACTTTACACATGGGAAACAATACGAAAACTCCTATGCAGTCAGCCCATTCACCAAAGTTTGAATCCGAGTCGAAATACCAGAATTCAGCGATCTTACCGCTCGGCCACTGATGGGCTATAATTTTTCGAATCACAAATAAACAGATGCAGTAATATCGAAAGTTATTAGGTAATTCATGCTCAAATTATGTATTTCCTTTTAACCTAGCTTTAATATTTCAGAGAACAATTTTCGTAAGTTCTATGAACATCCTGTTGCAAACTCAGGCATTCTAGTTCTGATCTCCACAGGACTACACATATATACCTTCTTCAAAAGAAATAAAAATCAATAAGAAATCTGCAAATTAATTTTCACTGGCATTATCCACAATGCAGGTTTTAACATTTTTAATGCTGGAAAATCAATGCGAATATGCTTTTCCATGTTATTATTTATTTAAGGGGTATCAGCAACCCCTATACCGACAATGTTAAATTGGTTATTTCCGGTGCACCTTTTCTCAAAATCTGCTGTAGATACACGCTTGAAATTTTTCGTGTAATTAAAGTATACCTATCCGATTATACTAAAATGAGCTTTTGAAACATTTTGAATTTTATAGTAATTTACAGAATATTTTGTTAGGCATAGTAAAATATAGCACTTTTCTCACACACAAAAATTTTTAATTTTTTCCCCTAAGTTTATCACATAAAACTCATTTCAGTAAATATTAGGAAACCTAATAAATAAGCCATAAAAATTTTAGATACCTGTCAGCAGTAGTTCCTGAGAAAAGATACATCGAGTATAAAAAAATCCCGTTTGGGGATAAAACGCGTTTTCATGTATAAATCCTCATTGGTCATAGCTGTCTATGACAAATTAAAACTAGATTTTTTATAGTTCTAATTTTCGTAGAGATTAAAGAATGGTATTTTTAGAAAGATAAAAGTGTAGAGAATTTGAAAATGCAAAAATCCGAAATCACAATTTTTTGAAGGTTTTGGAGTTCCAACACCCCATAAAATTAGTTTTATATTACATGTAGAGATTTCGATAATTAAAAATAATTAAAATCTCAACAATAAGTTTTAATTATTATAATACTTTTAAATCGCGTTTTTCTAATACTTCAAACCTAATTCTTCGCCATGTAAAATGAGATAATGAACTACTAAGCTATAAATTTGTTTACGAGCATGTATTTATCTAACAAGTTACGTTTGTACGAAAATCAGCATAAGTTCGTATTAATAACCCCTAAATATTTTCATGTACTCGTATATGTCATCCTCATGATATTCCCCAGATAATTTACAGACAAAAACTCTAATATTTCTCAAAGTGGATATAGGAAACCTTTCTGTTATTAAATATATGCAGTATATGTTACTGCTAATAAATCTACGCGTATGAAGATGGTACACATACGTACACATGTATACAGATATGTTTTCTGTTTTGCTTTCAACTGTAAGGCGCCAGAAGTCTTTCCTGTCACGAAATTCGAATGGTCTTTCAATCATGAGCCAGGTTTCTAACTTATCTCATGAGAAAACTCTTTCCTATTGTTTCAATGAAAGTCGCATTTCTCCCCTTAATAATACCCTAAAGGCCTCATGATTTGTGAGAATTATATAGAACTTAAAATGGCGATGCTCGTCTTGAATAGCGACCACTATAAATCCAACGCAAAAACCCCTCATCTGGGAGCATCCAAAAAAGGCAGAACTAGACGCCACTAATGAGCCGTAATGGGCCTCTAATGAGCAGGTACCATCTTTTTCCCCCTGTGTTCTCCTCTCATTTTTCTCTTCTCGCTGGTAGCGACCTCTGGGAGCAGACTGAAAGACGCTTTGCTCCCAAATTGCACCAAACAGTTTCATCTCTTCCACAGGCAGTGCTTTCTGCTTTCCTTCAACAATTTTTTTCCCCCTTTAACGAAGGAGGCATATATTCTTGAACTTGGCATTAATGCTGTTTCAAGCAACCTTTATGTACGGATATGCATAAAAATTTTCAGCAAAAATGATCTTTCAAAA